TCAGACAGAACACTAATAATAATAAAAAAAAGGTTTATAAACTACTAATACCATTTGTACAATTTCATTATTTCAAAATTAATTTCTATGTCAGTCTATCACTACGTACGCAGTTTCACATTCTGAATTGTCCACTTTGTTAAGTTCCATTTGTCTGTGAAACGGGACTTAGCAACTTAAGTGGTGGAACTTAAGATCTCAACTGCAAAGTTCACCGCAATTGTTAAATAAGAGAGATAAATTAAAGTTTTGCTGTTCAAGACTGGAAAGTTATGTCTAAAGTGAAATTTCTATCCTACTGCGTTCTTTACCGCCTAAGGATTTGTTACATGGAAGAATCGAGAGACGAAGTATTTCCCACATTCAACGTATTTGTCTCCGTTTTGAAATAAAATGCACGGAGCTTAATCACTGAACCCTGGGCCCGGAACCAACAAAATATCTTATAACATGTTCCTTGGTTATATCCTAGATGCTGTTTAACCAATCGGGAAATGTGAACAGCCTGTACCCAAGCTGTGAGCAGGCCCGCAACCAGCACATTCTACCGCTCGTATGTATAACTACTAATTTTTTTTTCATTTTTAGATTACCAAGTTTAATTAAGGACGGATTTCAGTTCTTTTTAGCCCCCCCTTCAACCATGGCTCCCTTGCTAACCTCTGGCGCCGCCCGGGTGCAATGCACCCATAAGGCTCTGGTTGTATTTTCGATCTTCGAAGACGTAGACGATATGTCAACGTAGCTCACTTTCGCTTTATTTAATTAAAAACTAATCCAAAAATTACAATCCGAAAGAATTAAGTGTCCATATATGGAGGACTCGTCCACTTGTCCACTGTATGGACTTTAGGATATGATTGGAACCCTCCTCTCTATGTACCCAGGTCTCAGTGACGTAGACATTAATACTGCGTAAAATTTTACTGGTTTTATCGCAGATTCAAATCTGTATTGGGCTGCCAGAAATATACTAATCGCTGATAGGCTTAAGTCTGGCGTAGGATAGAAAAAAAAAAGAATTAAGTGTTGCGAGATGCAAGAGATATACACATACACGGTGAAACTGTAATAAATTTAAATCCATCTTGTTATTTTAATCAAAGATATAAATGTGTGTACGTACCCGATTCAGTAAATCGTTTAGTGAAAGCCTCTATAAGATATCGCATTATTTATTTTAAGGTAGGCTGTGAAGAAGCCAAACGATAATTTTTTATCCTACTGGATCAACGAACGTAAACCTTGAGTTAATCTCATGGCGTCCATTCTATCCAATCATTAATTTATTACCTTCATTAACGCACATATTATCTACCACCGATAAAAAAGTAAAACTTCAGCTGTCCCACTGTACGCCATGTAGGCACTTGGGGGAAGAGAAGGTATAGCTCCTACTCATTCTTAACCTCGGCACTAGATGGGGGTGAGTGGTCGGCGTCACGCCCCGGCCGCGCTTTACCCTCGGGAAAGGACCCCGGTACCAATTGGACAGGAGGCTGGGTGGGCCTCAGAGCCGCTCTGGACGCAGAGTAGAAGAAAAATCCTCTGTCCCCGTCGGGGATCGAACCCCGGTCGACGATTCCGTAACCATATCGACTGAGCTACCCCACCAATTGTGACCCTAATACTATCGATTGCAAGCTATCGAACAATCCGTGA